AAATTTAATTCATGAAATTTTATATACCGTAAGTAAACACACACACACACCATTGTTTCACAAATAAAATGTGTTCTTGCATCTTTAATTCTAACAAATGCAGGTTAAATCCATTCTGATCGAATGGACTTATGAAAAATGTTATTATTACGGTATATAAAATTTCATGAATTAAATTTAATCCAAATAGGCTTTAGTATATGTAGTAAAATGTACCGTAATTAGGGTACCAGAAGGAATTTTGCTTTGTTACTCTAAAGGACAAACAATATCTCCCAATCCACATAAAGGCCAGAAGATAGTAATGATCAGCCAGAATTAAGTAATATCCCCTCCACAATTTTGGGTAACTCATAACCTGAAAACAGAATCAATTTTCACCAAGAATTTTCCAGTCAGCCTTCAATCGATTACAAACAGGCACAAAATTTCCTATAAAACAAGGCTGTATCATGCTTTCTAATATGACAGCCACTGTATTATTGTTCTTTATATATGGGTGGAAAGGATATTTGTTTATAATCAGAAGAGTAATTTTTCCCTTCCTTCCTAACCCCAGTTGGACTTGGACATTATAATCAGATTTAGATATGTATGTTCAATGCCTTTCTATACAAAGATTACAAAGAATGAGCAAGGTTCGCATCCAAAAGTAGACAGACTGTAGGCTTCAAACCTAGCTCTGTCAACTGCAAACGACAGCAGGAGCCTTTTTAAAATTAAGGCTGCATCTTAATAACGTGAACCGGCAAACTTTCAGCCAACAAATGCATCAGAGAGGGAGCCTGCATACAAAGTTACTCCCTGAAGCTTTTTACTTTCTTCCTACAATTTTTTTTTAAAAAAGTGGGGTCTTTTTGTTGCCTTAATTATAAACTACTTTAAAGTGAGGTGGCCGCAAATTTCACGGAGCGGCTTCTAACAGACAGGTGAGCGACGAGAGACTCCGCAAGCGATCCAAATCTTTTATCTCTAAGCCGCTCATTTCTTTTAGAGAATATGGACAGTGGAAAAGAGTTAAGCCCGCTTAGAGGCATCGCCCTGGATTTAGGTCCCAACCACCAAGCGAAAGGCAGTGTGGTCTGTAATCACTCCCCGGAGAGAGGGAAATAACTCCTCGTATATGCCGGTGAGTTTTTAATTTACAATACCCTTTCGATTTCCAACATTAAATTAATTTAGTACTGAAAATAGGCGCCCAGATCCAGACCAAACTCAGATCTGCCTAACGAGAACTAGCATGAACTTTACCTCCATCAGGGATCCAAGCTGACAACTGAACACCCGCATCCGCAAGAACTCAGTCAGCACTGCAGAAACTCCTCACGCGCCCAACCTCCAACTACAGAAAGAGAAGCTGCGGCCGCGGCGAAAAGAAGGCGGGACCCCTTCGGCACCACTCAGCGGCTGTCTGGGGCGTGGATGGGTGCAAAGGGGCGGGACCGTGCTGGAGGCGGGACCAAGGAGAGGGCCAACTAAAGGCTCGCGAGAGTTGCCGCTTGTACAGCGCTTGGTCCGGGACTTGTTTGAAAGGGAAGCCAGGGCTGAGCGCATCCTTGCGGCACCATTTACTTTTAGTCCCCAGTTCTGTACCTTAACCCGGGGTTATATGAAAGCTGAAAATGAAGCCATAGCGTGTCCCCGGGCAGGTGTGCAAAATTTATTTTTTTCCCATCAGTCACACAGTTTATTACCTAGGGAATTCACTGCCCGTTTTACTTCAACGTGACATGTTGGGGGACTGGGGCACTGTGAGCTTCCGACTCACTTGTGAAAGGCATGAAATCAAGGTGGAGACAACACTCCCAGAATATAGGCAAGCGGCTTCTTCCCCGGGAAATCGCTCTCTCACTCTCGAAATTTGAGGACCAGATATTCAAAAGAATTCCGAGTTATGGGCCTGTGTTCGCAAACATTTAGCCGTAAATCACGGTTTACAGACAAGGTTTACAGCAAGGCAAGTTTAAGACTTGTGGACTTCAACTCCCAGAATTCCTGAGCTAACATAATTGGAGGAGGAATTCTGGGAGTTGAAGTCCACAAGCTGTCAAGTTTGAAGACCTCTGGCCTAATGGGTTGGTTGGGCTCGTATAAATGCTACACTAGAAAAGTCTACGGGGCTCTGCTTTTGTATGAAGAAGTTCGTAAACTTAAGTCTGCACTTTACTACTTCGCAACGAATTGTCATCGGAGGCACTCAAAGACTTCCAGAATAACTCTCCCCGCTATATGGGAAAGAAGCCACCTTCAGCCGACCAGGCTGAGGAGAAATGTTCCAGTCTAGTGTTCAGAAACATGTGCTTAGCATACTCTCCTGAGCAACCGTAGTCACTACTTCTATTCCCAGCAAAGTGAAACGAAAGTTTTAAGATCCTTAGTAAAGGCATGCTTTGAACTGGCAGTAACGCCACACTGTGCGGAACTCTTGTTAACTCCAAAGACTTACAAAGCGGAACCTTCGCTAGAGGAGCTTGCTTTACCGATAACGGCCAGCTCGCTCCTCGAATTTGACCGGGACTTTTAAGATTTCCATTGTTTCCACCTCCCTCCTCGCTTTATAGTACAAGAAAAACCAGGGCTCTTGGCTTTCGCTGCTCTCTGGTGGCCAATTGTGCTACGTGCAGGAAGGAGCGGCTGGCATCCCCTGAGTTGCCCGGCGTCAGAGTATTGTGTCTTCACTTGCTGGCCCTTGGTCACTGTGCAACCAAGGCTGTGGTTTCTTCTCGCCAAGCCTCAGAATAGCACGTTGCAGAATGGCTGCCTACCATTGGGAAGCGCGCCGCAAGCAGATAATAATGGAGCACCGGCTGCGGCTGATGCAGGTGGTCGGATTGGGGAAAATCCTGCGCAGATAATGGGGGCGGGTGGGCGGCCAGGAGGGTTAGGTGGATGCGAGCAAAATGGAGGGGCCAAATAACCTTCTGGTCATTGGAGACCTTGCCTGTTTTTAAACGTGATCTTCAAACTCCCGAAGTTTGTAGGATAAGTTCTGGAAGGCGCTAAGATATGAATCAATACATTTCTTTATCTTGAAAGCGGAACAAGTCTAAGCCCGAGTGTTTGCATGGAAATTACCCTTTGTTAAGAATGGGTACTTGTGATCCATGCTTTTACTGCATTTTGTAATCCTCTGGCTTCAAAAGATCCATAAAATGTGTTCAATGTATGGAGTGTGAAGGATGTGTGTTTGTATTTATTTTCATGGTCATGATGTGCACGGAAGATGGCGTTTGATTTCGTTGTACAAGGTGCAATGACAATAAAGTAAAGTAAACTAAAAGAACAGCTTCCCTATCTTTTCCTATCACCTAGGCTAGGCTGTCATAAAGTAGGCTTATTAAAAAAAAGACAAAATATCTGCATAAACTGTTTTGACTGGTGAGACTTGCTCACTAGACCTTCCCCCCCATCCCAGGATACTGTGCTGAGTTGGTGTTTTCTACCTCTCTTTGGGTGGCATGAAACAAAACCAGCCTGACATTTGTAACCCCCTGCAGATTCCTTCTACCTCTATTGCTTTGTTTACTGTCACTGTCATTACTAAGATAGTGAGAAAACCTGACCAATTTTATATACCTTAACACTACCCTTGTCAGAATATGAAAGAAATACTTTAGTAGTTATACAGATGACTGAGGCAATGGATGAAACTAAGACAAAACCTGGGAATATGGCAGAGAAAATGTTGTTGGGATATATTTACATCTTGTTAGGTGTAAGTAGGGAAAGACATGGGTCAATCTGTCTTCTGACTTACACTAGTACTTGTTCCTGGCTGCGTTGGTCTAGAAAGGCTCAAACATGCCAGGATTTTTAGTGACTTATCTTGTAATTCTAGGAATGTGACAAGCCTCTCCCCAAAGCAAAGTACATATGATTTGCTCATAGGAGACCTGGCATATTTTTTTTCCTGGCATTTTTGGATGTGGGCTAAGAAAGCACCAGATGTTTAACCAAAAGGCAGAGGGGCTTAAAGAAAAGTTGGATGCCAGGCACTAAAAGGGAGAAAAACATAATCAGAAACCACAGGGTAAAGAAATTAGGACCAGAGAAAGGAAGAATAATGAAATACATGGAATGCAGAAGACTGAGAATAATTTCAGAAAAAGTAGCAAAAAGGGGCTCATTTATTCTAAAACTAAAATAATCTATACAAATAAAGGGGGGAAATACATAGATTGAACTAACCAGCAACAGAACAACAGAGGTGAGGAATTGAGAACAGGAGGCTTCCAAGAGACATGAAAGAGTGGAGGAGCCAAAAGGCAGTATAGATGGGGTGTACCATTTCAATATCAAGCAGCCTTATCAAAACTGAACAACTTTTTAAAAATGATTAGCTATATTTGAATTTGAGCATATTTTCAGTAGCATTATTAATCTGCAGGCTTGATGGTATCTTCATAAATAGCTTTCAGAACCATCTTTAAAAATATTTTAATAACTGTTATTATAATCAGGAAGCCAATTGATGAGATTGATTGCTCACCATCTTATCTACCTCTCCACTCTCTCCATTGTCCCATTTTGTGTGAGATGTTTTATTTATTGCATTCCAGATTTTCATTTTTAAAGGAATGAAATAGGGCACTGAGCCTGGCAGACATGGGCAAAGGGCCAAAAAATTTTTTAAGAGAGCAACTACAAATAATTAATCAAAATTGCCATTCTAATATTTTTGATTAGCAACTCCCTGTGGGCAATTCCTTCCTATGCACCAGGAAGGCTGCTATTAGGTTTCATTATCTGAATTTGAACAGACATTTGCCAAGAAATGCAATTTCTCAATACTCATGCATGTGGGCTTTTTGGGGGGATGGATATAGGAGAGCAGAATCGCAGAAGAAAGTGAGCAGCAAGTTTCAAAGGAGAAAACCCAAAATTGCACCATCCCATTGGACTCCAACATGTCGTCTCAAAATTTGCCAGAAAAAGGTACAGGATTTAAAATATGTTAACAGGAGATATATTGTTTTGGAGATAAATACAAAAGAAAGTGCTTATTTTTTTCTTCAGAAAACAATACCCAAGGAATTTAAAGAATAATTTTTGAACTGGCAAGGACTTGCAGATATGATAGACAATAACACCCAACATCCCCAGCAAAGATAATTGATATGCTTCTTTGGGATGATATGGGTTTTGTCCCACTCCATCTGGAGAATGGGGAAGGCTGAAATAGATTTTCAGTATACAGTAAGAGTAGGCAATTTTCTTGGGCTAGAGTTTTGAAATGTTGATAACTTATGATAGTGACATTCAAAATAAAATTGACTTATGCATTGTATCATCCTGATCAGACTGAATGAGTCGCATTATAAAAATATTTTTCAGCACAGTATGCTAGTATTGACAATTTAAGTCAGATTACCTAGAATTGATTTAATCCACATCCCAAGAAATTTTCACAAAAGAGAAAGTCTTCGCACCTATTTTTTTTAGGAATTGACCTCAATAAAATAAATGAGCTGAATTGTAGTAGTAGATTCAAAGGCTAGGATAATGCTAAAGGTCAGATTGCTATAGAATCTGTTCCACCAGTAAATATATATTTTAGTATAGTATAGGATTAGTGGAAAAACAAAATAATTTTTAGAACATGGTAAGAAGTTGATGGTAAACTAAAAATCAGAAAGCTAGTTGGTTAATATTTGTACCTGTTTCATTTATATGGCACAATATAGAAATTAGCTACATTTGAAATGTGTGAATTGCCCTCTAAGAGCTACTTCTCCAAGTTATAAAAGGCTATTCAAAATTGTTACTTTGATAGCCCTTTAAGATAAATGAATTCCTTACATAAAAGCTACATTAATTTCCATAGAGACTGGGAATTGTTTGTAAATCTTATCAACCACTTTCACTGGAGGCTTCTGCATAAAAATTTTGAACAGGTTAGCTAGCAGCCTTTTCCAAAACAGGGCCATATTACATAGTTTTATTATATTATGAAGCAGTCACTCTGAGAGATTTATACCAACAAGAATTATTAGGTGTGTAGTGATGCTTCTAAGCCTGAACACTGACACATTGCAAGAAAGGAAGTGTTTGATTAACCCAAATACAACAGCAAAATACCTGTGCATCTAGTTTAAGTAATATAGTGCTTCTGGATGTTGTGGGTTCCAGCTCCTTCTGCCACAACCAGCAATGCCAAGAGCAAAAGGTGGTAGAATTATAATTTAAAACTTCTAATGATGTACCTTGCTTTACCTCCCTTCTTCAATTAAGCATTGCAAAATAAACTCTCAAATATTGTTCTCCAAATGATCAGGACTAGCATTCCCAGAAACCTGAGACAAATACACAGGGATTATAGAAGTCATGATTTCAAAACAATTGGAATTACCATTTTAGTTCTACC